TTCCTGTGACCCCGGCCGGGGAGGAGCGAGTTTAGGAACGGAAGAAAAACACCTGCACAAAGAGCGGCTTTAGCTTTCAGGGCGGGTCATAGTAGGAGGATCCTATTAACAGAGAAACACCCTGGGGACAATGAAGAAGGGCTCCTTTTCAGGGGACAGACACTAACAGGGTGCTCTTCGTGACACCTTCAGAATGATCCCTTTACAAACTGGAACTCTCTGCAGAATACCACTGTCAAAAAGAAATGCTCTCCGCCGCCTTCTTAAGATATCTGACTTCGTTAACAACAAACCAAAGCCAGTGGTTTTCTGGGCCAGCGTGGCCAGCGGCACAGCCGTCCCTTAATTTTTTTTCTCCAGGCTCGGAATTTCTACCCATCAGGCAACAGCTACCCCTGTTCCTACATATACATTCCTCCTCCTCTCTATTTTAAAAATTTCTCTCCACTTTCCAGGAAGATCCACAGTCTCAGCCAGACCGCCTTCCATTTCTCTGTGTTCGGATGGTCATAAAATGCATTCACCGAGTCATTAGCCAGTCCGGATTGAGCACCAGCATGCCGAGGATGCAGTGTTGACCGAGACAGCTGAGAAAGCAAATTTTTAATGAGAAAACGTAGCCATCCTAGGGCCGGAGCGAGCAGCCCAGCTCTCCCTCACTGTGGCGTCTCTATCTCGTTGTTACTTTCATAGAAATCTGAGAAACAAAGAAACACTAAGCCGTTGAGCACCGCACGGAGACCTCCCGTGATCCTTTAAAATTGAAAGTATGTGTCCACGTACTATCATCCGCTTTCAATCAGCTACGCTAATAGTAACAGTTACTGTCTACTAATAGTAAGTTACTGTCTACTACGCGCGCTGTGTGGCAAGCCCTGCGCTACCTGCTCACCGATTTAATGCGCACTGTTGCCCTGTTCTTATCCTCACTCGGCAAATGGAGAAATCAAGGCTCAGGGAACTTGGGTGGTGAAGACCTTACGTTATTTTGAAACTCAAGGAATCAGAAGAAGGAAACTGACTCGACTAGGTCAAGAATGACCAAGGGGCCGGGGGACACATAGCTGACCGAAGACAAAGCATAGCAGCATCCAGCAAACCAATACGGGATGGAAGGGTCTGTGCTGTGTAGCTGACTTTCTGTCATTTCTAGACACAGTTGTGGCTTTTGTCCGAATGGCCAGCGAAATTTTATGAGGATTACCTCTCCGACTTTCACACCAGTTCCAGCCAGGCCTACCGGGTATGAGGCCGTGCGGGGCTGGAGCAGCCGAGACACGCGGAGACGCAAGC